AAAACCCATTCACAACAGCCAGAAGCAAGTGAAGGACACTCTCCAGGAGGTGGGTGTATCATTGTCAAAGTCTACAATCAAGAGAAGACTTCACGAGAGCAAAAACAGAGGGTTCACCACAAGGTGCAAATACAGAGGGTTCACCACAAGGTTCAAACCATTCATAAGCCTGAAGAATAGAAAAGCCAGATTAGACTTTGCCAAGAAAAATCTAAAAAAGCCGGACCAGTTCTGGAAAAGCATTCTATAGACAAATGAAACTAAGATTAATCTGTACCAGAATGAAGGGAAGAGAAAAGTGTGGAGAAGGCTTGGAACAGCTCATGATCCAAAGCACACAGCGTCATCTGTAAAACATGGTGGAGGCAGTGTGATGGCATGGGCATTCATGGCTTCCAGTGGCACTGGGCTATTGGTTTTTATTGATGATAAGACAGAAGCAGCCGGATAAATTCTGCAGTGTTTAGAGATATACTGTGAACCCAGATTCAGCCAAATGCAGCAAAGTTGATTGGATGGCGCTTCACAGTACAGATGGACAATGATCCAAAACACACTGCAAAAGCAACCCAGGAGCTTTTGAAGGAAAAGAAGTGCTGGAATATTCTGCAATGGCTGGGTCAATCACCTGATCTCAACCCAATTGAGCATGCATTTCACTTGCTGAAGACAAAACTAAAGGCAGAGAGACCCACAAACAAAGAAAAATTGAAGACAGCTGCAGTTAGAGTATGGCAAAGCATCAGAAAGGAAGAAACCTTTGGTAATGTCCATGGGTTCCAGACTGCAGGCAGTCATTGCTAGTAAAGGATATTCAACAAAATATTAAAAATGAACATTTTAGTTATGATTATATTCATTTGTCCAATTATATTTGAGCCCCTGAAAACGGAGAGACTGTGTATAAAAATGGTTGTAGTGCCTACAATTTATACTTGATGTTTATGTTCAACCCCTGGAATTAAAGCTGAAAGTCTGCACTTCAAATTAATTTGGATTGTTTTGTTTTAATTTATTCTGGTGGCATACAGAGCCAAAAGTACGAAAATTGTGCCTGATCTTCCACCACCTATCTTTGCACAGACCCTAGGCCTTTGATTCCACCACTATAGAGATCTCTCCATAACCCCAGGCTTTCATGGACACATTAAGTACCAGTTAAATCACTTCCAGATTTTGCACACGCACCCTGGTATTAGAAGCCAAAGGTTCATATTCAACAAATGGAATTGAGATTTATCACTAGTATGTCCCTTCAGAGCTGGAGGGGGACTCAAGTCTTCTAGAGGCTTGGAATAGGAAGGCATCAAGTAGCGTGCAGGGAAACACAGGCATTTGAAACAACTGGAAGAGAGCAAGGAGATGACAGTATCTTATTAGTCATGCCCAGGGTGGACTGACCATTTGGAAACTTGGGGCACTGCCCGAGGGCCCGGGGTCAGTAGGGGGCCCCATGAGATGCCCCTGGTACCTTTTTCATAGGCTTTTTTGAGTTTGGGCAAGGACACAGGGGCCCCATGAGTTGTCAGTCTGCCCCTGGTCATGCCCTTTCCCATGCCTCATACATTTTGACATGAGCTTGTGGACCAGTTGTGAGGATCATTAGCAGGAGTAAGCTCAACTTTAGAAGTGGATATGCATAACAGAACTGGGGTCTCCGAGCTCCCAGGAAACTTATTTATACCTCTAATGGATGTGTATCAGCACCTCGTGGTGCCTTCATCTCATTCAGGTTATAAGTTTAGCACCTTAAAACAACAGGTATTCTGCATATTGATTGTATTACTCACCTCTTCCCATATCCAGCTCTGTACATTTCTTGTCAGGATTGCTGTGAATTCTGCATTTAAAGATCGTTCCTGGAGTCTTTATGGATGAGCTAAATTTAGATTCTGCTTTGGGAGCACCAACCAGTATCCTACAAAACAAGAAAAATGCAAGTGATTTTTAATTATCATTTTGCTAGTTATAATTTGCATATTTTCATACTTTCCAACTGTCCCTCATTTTGAAAGACCGTCCCTCTGTAGGAATTAGACCTCTGTACCCCTCTTTCCTACTTAAATACCCCTCCTTTTAGTCTGAAGTATAAATATCAACTATTATTATTATTATTATACAGTATTTATAAAGCGCCAATAGTTCGCTCAGCGCTGAACATTACAAAGGGGGACAGAACATGTGACAGAACAATACCAATACAATGCAAAACATGAGGGGATTGAGGGCCCTGCTCTTTCGAGATTACAATCTAGGAGACAACATGACCGCAATTCATTCTTTTCTGTAATGCCCATGTTTAGGGTTAGACCCAAAAGAGTTTTAAATTTAGAAACCTTGATACGTTTCCATGCCAACTGTCTGGCATGGGGGGGGGGTGTAACGCAATTAGTTCACATCCCAAAATAGAAAGCAAACACATGATTACATTGCTTTGCCAAGAGCTGCTGCTCACCTACAAAAAAAAAAAAAAAAAAAAAAAAAAAAACCCACATACACACCTCTCTAAAAAATAAAAAAAGTCTCAGAAAAAGGCTTAAAAAAAAAATAAATATTTTTTTTATTGCATGGCTGCATAATTGTCAGTGTGATAGCACTGAAAGCTGAAAATTGGCCTGGACAGGAAGGGGGTAAAAGTGTACAGACTTGGAAGTGATTTAAAGAAAAATTCTTAACCACCTACAAGTACTACAGTGTCACCATGTTGACACTGCACTGCTAGGTCTACCGTGCTAAAATACCAGTGTCAAATTTTGAAAAATTGGTTAAACTAATTTGGGTAAAAAAAATTAAAAAAAATGTTTCTCAAAATGTTTGGACTTTCATTTATATAGCAAAAAAAATAAAAATCCCAGCGGTAAATACCACCAAAATAAAAGTTTTACCGCTGGGATTTTTTATTTTTTCCCACATATGTCCAAACATGTTGGAAAAATTTTTTAGCCCAAATTAAATTTATAACAAAAATTATAATTTTTTAAAATTTGACTTTTTATATTTAACATACTGTCACCCTAGCAGTACAGTGTCAACTATGAATAAATGTTCTATATAAATATGTTGTACTGCATTAAAACTTCCATCCAAGTTCTAAATTAACACATTTTACTAAGTTGTCCATTTGTGAAACTCTATTACAAAGGAAAAAAAATAGTATTAAAAAAATTTTAGAGGGTTTATTTTATTGACCATGGATTATTTTATTGTAGGGATACCTAGGGGTTTGATAGGAGCCTACAAACGTTTTGTTGTAAGGTGTCCGTCATTCTCATCTCAGAACATAGGGAGGTATATTTGTCATTTATAATATTGAACCAGCCAAGGTTTCTGTTCAGATATCCAATATGTTTCATAAAAGAGCATCGGGCCAGAACTAATTGCAGTATGCGCAAAACCGATTCCATCAGTATAGAGAATAGATAGGGCATGACAAGAGAACCAGGTGGATGGACTGTCACTGAAATAGAAGGCCACATATTATTATTATATTAATATTATACAGGATTTATAAAGCGCCAATAGTTCGCTCAGCGCTGTACATTACAAAGGGGGGCAGAACATGTGACAGAACAATACCAATACAATGCAAAACATGAGGGGATCGAGGGCCCTGCTCTTTCCAGCTTACAATCTAGGAAATCATATCCAATGTACCATATGCAACAGGACAATAAAAGTTCAAAATTTTTTCTAGGTAACTAACTTAAATGTGTTCTACAACTCTTAAGTTTAATGTGACTAGTTTTTAAATATACAGTACATTGGCTTCACATACCTGTAATATATATTTATTTATTTTTTTTTTTTTTTTTTTAAATTATTGTATATTTAAGTGTTCTTGCATGGCGACCACTTCCTGTTATCTCACATATATATTCTTATTATTATAGCCAAATTTACCCCCTAACTCCTCCCACAGTTTTTACACTACATAGACAGTAATAAACCGAAACGTGCGGATTGTTCCCGATTGGTGTGCTATTACTTTGTGGAACGTTTCGCCGAATGGTTCACGAAATATTGACGTTTTTGTGGTGAAATTGCTCCCATAGGAATGAATGGCGGAATGTTCAAAACTAGAGTGGGAGCTGAAAAATCAGGACATGATTTCTAAACTGCCATCACTCCCTCATTTTCAAGCCCACCTACACAAATCTTATATCAAAACGTTCAGCTATCCCTGCTGCCACTAAAAATGCCGGCTAAGCCATAGTCCTGATAGTTTTCACAATATGACCATTTGTTTGCAACTCACGCCGCCCATTGACATTCATTGAAACTCCACTCTAGCCACCTCAAATTTGAAGGGCAACTTCTAAACTGCGACTGTGCCTTCATTTTTAATATTTCAGAGACATACTATGCATCAAAATGTAGGTCTGGGTCTTGTGATTCTCACAATATAAAGCTCTTCGCTGTAGGATTTAGCATTTTTAACCACTTGCCTACCAGGCACTTATACCCCCTTCCTTACCAGGCCAATTTTCAGCTTTCAGCACTGCCGCACTTTGATTGACAATTGCGCGGTCATGCAAAATTGTACCCATATGAAATTTTGATCATTTTTTTCTCACAAATAGAGCTTTCTTTTGGTGGTATTTAATCGCCACTGGGCGCTTTACTTTTTGCGCTATAAATTAAAAAAGTGCAAAAAATTTGAAAAAAAAAAAAAAAGTTTCTTTGTTTCTATTATAAAATTTTTCAAACAGGTATTTTTTCTCCTTCACTGATGTGCGTTGATGAGGCAGTACTGATGGGCACTGATAGGCGGCACTGATGGGCACTGATAGGCAGCACTAAAGGGCACTGATAGGCAGTACTAATGAGGTGGCACGGATAGGCGGCACTGATAGGCAACACTAATGAGGTGTCACGGATAGGCGGCACTAATATGCAGCACTGATAGGCGGCACTGATAGGTGACACTGATGATGGGTACTGATAGATGGCACTGACTGGCACAACCGCTGGGCACTGACTGGTGGCACTGACTGGGCAGCACTGCTGGGCTGCACTGGTGGGTGGGCACAGGTGGGCGGCACTGGTGGGCACAGGTGGGTGGCACTGGTGGGCACAGGTGGGTGGCACTGGTGGGCACAGGTAGGTGGCACTTCTGGGCACAGGTGTGTGACACTGCAGAGTGGCACAGGTGGGTGCACTGCTGGGCACAGGTGGGCGGAGCTAGTGGGTGCACTGCTGGGCACAGGTGGGCGGAACTTGTGGGTGGCACTGCTGGGCACCGATCATCAGGGCACTGATCATCAGTGGCCCTGATGATCGGTGCCGATCCTCGCTCTGACAACTGCCGGTTCTCGGCAGTACTTTCCTCACGATCTGACAGCGTGAGGAAAGTGCAGCCAAGAACCGGCACTTGCATTTCCCTGTGATCAGCGTGTCATTGGACACCGCTGATCACGTGGTAAAAGGCCGGTATGATCGGCCTTTTACCACATCTCGTGATCAGCTGTGTCCGTAGGACACAGCGATCACGGAGATCACAGGAGAGCGCGTTCTGGGGGGACGTCATGTGACGTCCACCCAGAACTGGCCGGCCGCAGTGAAGCCGTCATTCGGCTATGTGCGGTCGGCAAGAGGTTAAACTAAAACCGTTTGAAGATGGCAACCGCCAGTGAAGTGAGCAAGTTGGAGCAGTTTGTTTTTAACCGCTCTTCTCTGCCCTTGCTGTAGAGTGAGTTGCCATAGGAACCCAGGTGTGTGAACAGGCAGCAGAGTGACAAGCCACTCCCAACAGTTACTCCGCCCACTCCAGATATAGACTACTGGTGGAGGCAAGAACACTTCACACCATTTCCCCAGAAATTGTAGCTTTTCTAGTATTATATGTTATTATACACAGCTGGCTCCAATCATAGATTGGAGATAGGAAGGGAGGGGGTTGGTATAAACTCTAAAGTAAGCACTATACCATCGAAAAAAATAATAGAATAGGCTACTTGTAGGATATATAGGATGTAGGGGCACATCATTCAATTAGGGGAGTGCATTACAATACCTCACTGTGACTCTGGCTCTGACTGTGGACTAATTTATAAAGCAGACTGTTATGTATGTATGTCAGAAGTGCAAGCATTTTCACCACTTCCCGTCCAGCGACGTACTGGTACATCGATGGGCTTTTGGTGTTGATAGCAAAATGATGCCTGCCGTTGAAGGCATCACCCTGGTACTGTTTTCTTTAGAGCTGGCAGTTGGCTCTCTTGTAATAGCAATCGGAGCAGCTTTCCAGCCGCTAGATTGCTATTACAAGCAACAGGAGCAAAAATCCCCCCCCTCCCCGGCTCTCTTGGGCTCTCCTCTCCAATCGGGAGACCCAAGACACCAGCCGACACATCTGCCGGCTGGCTGGATAGCCCAACAAAGCTGGGATTGGCTTTGATTGGCTCTCTCCATTACAGTAAACCAGTAAACCAGAGGACCTGACATCACTTCCGGTTTACTTGGAAGTAAACTGCGCCATTTTTAAAACATAAAAGCATTCAGAAACACTGATCTTGGTGTTTTTGAATGCTTTCAAGTGTAGAGGAGGGATTTTGGTCTTACAGACCCCAGATCTCTCCCTAAAGGGTACCTGTGACGTTCCTATTGCTGTCACAGAAGATGTTTTACACTTCTTGTGACAGCAATAACCGTGATAAAAAAAAATTAATAAAGAAAGTGTAAAAATAGAAATTAGGCGAATGCACACATTTGTCCTGCATGCACGCAAACAGCGTTCATCCCACACGTGAGGTAGCACCGTGAACGTCAGATCATGGGCAGTAATTGTAGCACCAGACCTCCTCTGTAGATCTAAAGTAGTAACCTGTAAAGGCTTTTAAAGCATTGCCTATGGATAGTAAAATTTACATTGTTTGTCGCCATTGCACAGGCATGTGCAATTTTAAAGCGTGACAGGTTTGGTATCTATTTACTTGGTGTACCATTAACTTTTATATTTTACAAAAAAATGGGTTACGGATTGTGTTATTTTGCAATAAAATTAAAAAGTGTATTTTTTTTTGTTTACAAACGATTTTATTGTACATAAGTAGACAGTAAAACAACAGCACAGTATGAAAGTGATATTGTCAACAAAAATATGGCACATTTGAAATGTACAATACATAAAAGTATATTAACATAAAAAAGAAGATAGAGGAAGAAAGAAAGTTATAAGTGCATGAGATACATAAATGATAAAATAGATTGAGTGATACATCTATCAACAATATATGTCAGCCATTCCTTACCAAGGATGTTGTCAATCATGCAATAAATGTCTACAATCCTTCCATGACTCCCATTTTTTATCGTATAAGTGCATCTTATCCAGTAGTGTATAATGAATACGTTCCATAAGCATTACAGCGTCAATTCTGTGTAAAACGGAGTCTAAGGGTACAACATTAGACCGCCAATGCAGGGCAATGGACCATAAAGTGGCAATACATAATGTGTGTAGCAATCTCAGAGTGGCATCAGGGACCCCTGGGATATGAACCCCCAATAAACAGGTCTGTATAGACAACTGCATCGGGTTGCCCGATAGTGAGGTAGCCACCTCAGATATCTTACGCCAGATCAAAGATATGTTCGGGCAATCCCAAAACATATGGACCAAAGTGCCTGTGCGGCCACAGCCCCGGAAACATAAAGGGGATGTTTGTGGAAACATTGTATGTAGTCTGGACGGAGTATAATACCATCTGGTTAAAACTTTAAGGGCCGTCTCACGAACCGAAAGAGATCTAGAGCTCTTGCATATATTATCCACCATGGAGTCCCAATCCTCATCCGAAAAAGTGATACCACAATCCTCCTCCCACCTCTGCCTGTACATAGGGGGAGCATGGAAAAGACAGATCAGAAATTGGTGATAAAGATCTGAAATAAGACCCCTACCTCTAGGAGAGTCACGGCTGATACGTTCAAAAAAAGAGATCGGAGAAGACGGGGTAAGGCCAAAGTGCGCATTAAAAAAGTGCCTAATCTGTCTATAACGAAGGTACTCACGAAGAGGAACATCAAATAGCACGCGCAGCATATCGAAGGTAATATAAGATCCTCCTCTTTGGAAGTCAGATAATCTGACAAAGGATCGATCATACCACCAACGAAACATGTGAGGGGAAGAAAAGGCTACAACAAAAGTAGGATCACCAAAAAATGAAACACCTGGGGGAATATGAGAGACTAAACTCAGCGTAGCCTTGTATTTGGACCAAAGTGTCAGTGAGTGGGTCACTATAGAGTTATGAAAAGTAAGCGATCGGGGGGAGATTTTAGACCATAAAATTCCCGGTAAATAAAAAGGACGTATCGACTGAGACTCAAACTTGATCCACGGGATTTGAGAGTTAATAGTAGCCCATTGTGATAATTGCGCAAAACGAGCCGAGAGGTAATATAGCCAAAAGTTAGGAAGACCAAGACCTCCCGTTCGTTGTGAACGATACAAAATGGATGAGGCAAAACGTGGATGCTTATTTCCCCAAATAAAATTGTTAATAATCCGCTGAAAATGATCCAAAAACGTTTTTGAAACCGGAACTGGAAGTGCCCTAAAAAGATAAAGCAGTTTGGGCAAAACATTCATTTTAACCGCCGTGACTCTACCCAGAAAGGAGATATGATAACCGTGCCAAATCTTCAGTAGAGTAGAGAGACGTGATACACATGATGGATAATTAGCCGCAAACATATCCGAGTATCTGGGAGCAAGATTAATCCCCAAATAGGATATCCTGTCTTTGACCCAGCGAAATGGAAAAGAACTACGGAGAGATGCACTTAGGGAGTCAGGAACATTAACAGGCATAATTACCGATTTGGTAAAATTAACAGTGAGACCTGACACTTTAGCAAAATCATTCAATACGACACACAAATTAGGCAAAGAAAGTCAACGGGTTAGTAATAAAAAGCATAACATCATCAGCATACATGCTCAACTTAAAATGTGAAACTAATAACGAATAGCCAGAAATATCCGAATGTGATTTGATCGCCAATGCCAAAGGTTCCAACACCAGCGCAAACAAAAGGGGTGAAAGAGGACAACCTTGACGGGTACCTCTACCCAATGTAAAAAAGTCAGAGTTACAGCCAGGAAGCCTTATTCTTGTTTTAGGAGAGTCGTATAGGGCATGTATGCCTGCCAAAAACCCATCATTGAAGCCCATTTTCTGTAGCAAAGAGAACAAGTAGGGCCAAAGAACACTGTCAAAGGCCTTGTTTATGTCTAAACTCATCAACAGAACCTCTTTGGAATGTAAATTGGCATCTTGAATAACGTTTAGAGTGAGACGAATGTTATCAGTAATAAATCTGTCGGGAATAAAACCCGACTGGTCTGGAGATACCAAAGAGGAGATAATAGGAGCCAACCTGTTCGCCAAAATGCGGCTAAATATCTTCAGATCGTTATTCATTACTGAGATTGGTCTATAGTTTTGTGGCAGACAGTGGTCTTTCTGTGGCTTGGGTATTAAAGACATGTTAGCTAACAACATCTCCTCGGGGAACTTACCCCCCCGTAAAAAACATCATTAAATAGTGTTATCAAGTATGGAGCCAATATAGAGGTAAAATGTTTATAATAGCCAGCAGTAAATCCATCAGGACCCGGCGCAGTAGAGCGTTTCAGCGTTCCCATTGCACATGTTATTTCCTCTAAGGTACATGGGGTATTAAGAGAGGCAATCTGAGAAGGTGTGAGAGCAGGAAGGGGTATAGAATCTAGCCATGAATCTGATAGAGAAACAGAATCCGACTGTGGAGAAGCCAGTAGTTTAGAATAAAAATTTTCAAAAATACCCAAAACTTCCTGAGGTAAAGATGAGATAGCACCTGAATAGTACGCAATTTATACACATGTGGGGGGCGCAAAGAATGGTGTTCAATTTCCTTGCAAACATGGTAGATGCTGAGTTGCTATGTAATAGGAACGAGGCCCTCGACCAGCGGAGGGCCTTTTCAGTTTTTTGGGAAAGTAGGGCATTCAGTTCCAAGCGCTTTTGGGACAATAGCTGTTTATTGAGTAAAGATGGATCAGCTACATGGCTTCTATAGTGTGCTTCTAATTCTCGGGTTAAAAGTAGTATCTGCTGCCAACGTTTTTTATTTCTGGCCGAAGCCATAGAGATAAGTCGGCCCCGTAGGACCGCCTTGTGGGCTACCCAGAGTGTGGCTGGGGAAATATCAGGGGTTGAATTAGATTGAAAGTATTCCTTAAGAGATGTAATCACCTCCTGCCGAGAGTCAGTATCAGTTAGCATAGAATCATTAAGTCTCCATGAAAAGGGAGTAGGTGCCAATCCCACAAACGTGATAGATAAGGCCATAATACTGTGATCCGACCAGGGGCTCAAATGAATA